GAAAGCACTGTATCGAACGGTTCGATATCGATACGAGTATCGTTGCACCCCTAGTGTGTTTGTGTATGAGTGTAGCAGTAACTGGCCCAAACTTGCAAATTCTGCTGCTGAATGATGAATGAGTTTGGCCCATTATCAGTCAGACAAACATCAGATAGTTGTTTACTGTGTAACAAGAGGATTTAAGCAGCAAAGTAATCGTTTCTTACTTTTTCTATTTGTTGAATCACCATATGGTGCACAGTGTTTCAGCCCTAAGAATCCAACATGCAAAATCCACGCTTTCAGTATTTATAGGGCTGAGTTAAACCTTTGACTAATATCTGCAGGTCGTTCTACTTTTAAAGGGAATCTCAGAGAATGACTAGAAGCTGATGGAATTGGTCGGGGCAAGACCAAAACTTTTCTCATTTTGTGCCATTTCTCAACGCACAAACAACTCAGTCATTTGATTTGATCCGTCATGGAACGCTAAGCATCAAAGTGATGCTGAGACTTTATGCGACAGACATTTGGGTTCTTGTCAAGTCCAATAGCGTTGCTCGTGTAGAGACAAGATCATCTCTTGTAGGATTATGTGGGAGTGGATGGGCTCAGATTCAACAATCCGCTCCACTGGAAGTGGACGCTATATGGGTCAGCGAGTCCCTGTCGTGGCTTTGACCAACGTCAATATAATCCAGTGGTTTTAACATTGCTCCTTGCATGTTGTCCTTCTTGCATATAGCAGCCAATGCAAAAGGCACATTCCTTTGTTGCATTTTTTAAGTGAGATGATTACATTGATTTGAATGAGGTATTCCCAAAGAGAACTCATTATGCATTTCTGTGGAGAACGTATTCATGCCAAGCTCTGATATGTGGCCTCAAACCACCGAGTAAGCATCTCCAAAGCCTTTTATACTCAAAGTGGGTAAAAACAAGCGGTGACATTTCCAGGATGGGACACAGGTGAGCCTTGGAAACCTTTTATTTTATCCCGCACTGCAAAATACTACTGTATAAAAGCCCCCAGTGCTGCCGTTAACACCCACGCAAATCAAAACCGCCTCTTTAATTGTTCAAATGTCAATACATTTGCATACAGTTTCAATCTTTGCGCCGCACAGTCAAATTACAACATTCGCAAGTAGGGATCGTAAGAAAGAAAATGACCCAATTTGTCTGAAATTATAAGGTACGGCTCACTGACGCGAGTTGCCAATTAGCTTACAAAA